CGATCTATAAGTTTCTACTTAGTACTTGGTTTATAAAAGTACGAGTATCATATAATCATATAATAAATATTTAAAATAAAAAATAATGAATAAATAACTTAAGATTTTTATAACGAGTAAAAATGTAAGTATTTCGAGATAATGCTTTTCAAAAGATTTCTGACCTTACTACTGAAAAAATAGTTATCTATTAATGTAAACAATGGAAAAATACAAAATAAAAAAATCACAAAAAATGTTAAACAAATTAGCAAACAACTTCTGAGCAAATGACGATTCCAATCGAAATCAATGATATCAATGAAATCTATAAAGAAATTAGATTTCTAATTAAAATACTTGTGTAGTATCGTGATATTGCACAAACATTTCCACTCAAAATTTAACTCATAACTGCAGTAGAAGGTACTCATCAGTTTAGCCCATTTGAGGCGAACTTTTATAAGAGATTCGTCAGTAGCACAGAACAGTATTTAGTCGATCGAACTTGACACATAAAGCAGCTCCAGTTTGATGGCTTTAATTTAGTTATATTTTCATTAAAACTATAAAATCATTGAAAATGCAGTTTTCCTTAGCAATAATAATATTTTTTATAATTTTTTTTGTACACCGTACTGAGGCTTGTAGCGGAACAGGTGGTGCCGTGCAAGGAACTGCTAGGACCAGTAAGGATTGGTGGCAACTGGCACAATTTTATCAAATTTATCCGCGCTCATTCATGGACTCTGATGGCGATGGTATAGGCGACCTCAAAGGTATCACTTCAAAGTTGTCATATTTGAAGGAAATTGGAGTTGCAGCGACTTGGTTATCGCCCATCTACAAGTCTCCGATGGTGGACTTTGGTTATGATATAGCAGACTTTTTTGATATACAACCGGAATATGGCACATTAGAAGATTTTGATAATTTGATCAAAGAAGCCAATACACTCGGGCTAAAAATTATTCTGGACTTTGTGCCAAATCATTCAAGCGATATGAATGAATGGTTTAAGAAGTCAGTGCGACGTGAAAAGGGTTATGAGGATTATTATGTTTGGCATGATGGATATAAAAACGAGAACGGAGAACGTGTGCCGCCCAGTAATTGGGTAAGAACAAGAAGATTTTCAAAGAAATTAAATGCATTTGAAGGATTTGAGAGTTAATGTATTTTATAACCTCGAGGTAAACTTTGTAGTAATAGCTAACAGTTAAAAGTAATTAGTATGGGAGTTTAATAATGATAATTTTTGAAATTATAAGGAAAAAAGAATTAATTATGTTATTATTACAAAAAAAGAATCAAAAACTTCAGACGATTTTGAGTTATTTTCTTTTATTTATAAAAACAAAACGATTTGTTTTGTAACAGAGCATTTGTTTATATATTTAGCTGCAAGCTTTCCGTGGTAGTGCCTGGGAGTGGAATGAAGATCGCCAGCAATATTATCTTCATCAATTTGCAGTACAGCAGCCTGATCTGAACTACCGAAATCCAGCAGTTGTGGCACAAATGAAACGTGTACTCACATACTGGTTAGATCGTGGCGTAGCGGGATTTCGAGTTGACGCTGTGCCTTGGTGCTTTGAGGTGGTCCCTGATGCAAATGGCAGATATCCTGATGAGCCACTTAGTGGTTTTACTGATGATAAAGATGACTCTGGCTATTTGAATCATATCTACACACAGAATCAACCAGAAACTATTGATATGGTCTATCAGTGGCGACAGTTATTAGATGATTATCAGCGAATACATGGTGGCGATACGCGTGTGCTAATGATCGAAGCATATCCGCCGTTGGACGTAGTAATGAAGTTATATGGCAATAGCACAACTCAAGGCGCACAAATACCATTCAATTTTCAATTTATTGTGGATGGAAATGCTGATAAAAATAATACACAACTACCAGCTAAAGAATTTGTGCGAATTATTGATAGTTGGATGAATCTCATGCCAGCTGGCAAAACACCAAATTGGGTGGTAAGTGGATCGCAATATTTATCGAATTGTATGAACATATATACATACTGTACGTATACGTGATAATTGATTTTTATAGATGGGCAATCATGATCAGAGACGAGTGGGTAGCCGTTACGGTGAGCAGCGTATTGATATCATGAACATGATACAAATGTTTTTACCAGGTGTGAGCGTTACATACATGGTGAGAATGTAGTTTTTAAGTGAAATACATGAAATAAGTTGATATTTTGCAGGGTGAGGAAATTGGTATGTTGGATTTGGATATTTCATGGGAAGATACACGTGATCCTGCAGCTTGTAATTCAAATCCTCAAATTTATGAACAATTTACGCGTGATCCATGTCGCACACCATTCCAATGGAGCAACCAAGAAAATGCAGGCTTCTCCACAAACAGTACAACTTGGCTACCCATTAATCCCAATTATGTTTCCGTCAATATGGAGTCAGAGAATACTGATTCTAAGAGTCATTTAAGTATTTACAAGCAATTGTCAGAGCTACGAAAAACCCAAACGCTGCAATATGGAGACGTTAAATATGGAGCCGTTAATGACAATATTTTGGCCATAAAGCGGTGAGTTAAATATAAGGTTTCACGGGTGTATTTCAAGTATCGTTGTTGTTTTTGAAGTTTAAAAAACATCTTTTTAACTTCTTTTATTCATTCAATTATTTATGGGTTTTTGTGTGAAATTGTGCTTATATTTATTGACTGCTAAACAAATTAATTCTTACAATATTAAAGTTCCTTGCCCGGTGAGAAGACCTACATTTTGTTGGCCAACGTTTTGAGTGGTGAAATGACTGCGAATGTCAGTAATTTACTACGTGTCAATGGCAATTTTAATACGAAAATTGTCAATACGATATCAGCACGCAGGGAGGGGTGAGTAACTTTGGAAAACTTTTCAAACATCCCTCCTAATTATTTTATTTATCATTGATGGAAATTTTTTTACATTTTGTATTACAGCAACATAGTATCTGTAGATAACTTCATTTTACAATCCTATGAAGCCATCATCGTGGAGTCTCCATAGTAGTTATGAGTTCTAATCTTAAATTCTTGAATAATGTAGCATAATTAAATTTAATTGAATAAAGTTAAACTTTTAATGACCAAACTTGCCTTTGTACATTACTTGCATTTATAGAGGCTGTTGTGGCAGTTGAAACCAACGGAGCTGTTGAACGGAGCAACCTACGAAATGAGCCACGTTTTTGATTATCACTTTCATTATTAAAACTTTTTGTAATGTAAATTCTTTTTAAAAAAATAATCAAGCGTGATTGATAACTCAAACAAATCACGCATTCTGCTCATTATGCGTAGCACATCTATGTATTGCCATGTATTGCCACAGTTCCTCCGGTACTGCGGCTCTTAGAGATTTCTTCTTCGAGCATTGCCATTATTAGGCAACACGTTGTAAATATGTCAGGTATACATGATGACAACAACTTTATCATTTAGGCCAGCTGCACCATCATCACTACACGTTTTAATAAAGACTTTTTTCCACATCTAATTTGGCTTTTTTCATCATTTGTTTCCCTTCGTTTATTATAAATACGTTCTGTTAATATTATGAGCTTGCAACTTCTGAAGGATTTCGGTAGTTTCAGTTCCATCTGTGGGGGTGTACACAAAAAAGATGTATTGAAATTTCTGTCAAAAGTTGTTTCCTGGGTGAAAAAAATACTATGTTGTTCTACTTAAATTCAAAGTTGAACATTTTAAGATGTTTTCATATCTCATAAATAAAGTATTTTTATACTGTCAATACAATACTAGTATGAAAAGTACCGAAAAGTTTGTGTTATAAGATATTTTTAAGTAAGTTTATGTACAGAAAAAATGATTAGCTATTAGTTATATTTGTATATCTTCCACTTCCGTACCATTAAATAATTTGTGTGCTGAGATGTAGGTATAGTCTGTTGCAATATCTACTTTCTAGAGTTTTAATGACATTTTTTCTTCAAGGATTTCAAATGAAGAGAATCAGCTTCATAGCTTAATATTTATTATTCTATGAAATAATGAAACTATTTGAAGTTGTCTTGATTTAGGAAGCAAAAATAAACGATATATGAAGGGAATATGAATATGAATACCGAACACTATAATGCTCAAACAATGTATGGTACTAATTTGAGCATTCTGTATTTGTAGTGATCGTAAAGTCTACATTTGAGAATCTACCTCATGTCTCTTGGTATAAAATATACCATAAACAGGTATCAGTTGTCTTTAATTTTTTCTTTAGTGAATCTTACTTGAATGTATCTAAAACAACATTCGGCTATTAAGTATTAGGAATTAGAATATCACTGCTTAGCTAATACGGTTTTTTAATTATTAAAATGCTTTCTACAGAAAATTTCAATGCTGTTTGTTGACACTATTTTTTAGTTCAGATTCACAAGAGAGTGTCGCCTAACATCACAAGGATGCTATTTGCTGTGTTCCTGAACAAAGCAATATTTTGAAGGGAATGAACTAGCAGATGAGATGGCCAGAAGGGGTTCTGAACTGCATATAAGGAAGGACGACCACTCAGTACAAACACCGATATACGAACTGTTTAGAATCATAGAGGAATTTACCAATGTGTTGACTAAAAATTTATGTGCTAATCGCGACTCTGTGAAATCTTTATAACCTTTTGGCCTAGGTTGGAAAAAATAAAACGAAAAAACTCTTAGGCTTCAGTAAACCTGCAGTTCGTGTATTTACTGGAATACTAAAGAGGCACTGTGCTAATGCACCTATGCTCCAAAGGTGACGAGTTCCAATAAGTGGATTATACAGAAGTTGCCACGATGAAGTCGCAGACAAGGCGACTTCAATTGCTTGAGAATTTCTTTTTCATTGGGCTGAAGAAGACAACGAAATAAAACTTATTGGATCTCCTCAACTTCATCTGGAAAACCAAATAGTTTAATAAGGATAATCCACGAAAATAACGGAGGTTAGCAACTCGCCTCTCCCTGCAAAATCTTTTTGGGCATCACAATGGACAATATATACCTCCGAGTGGAAGTGTTGCTAAATGTCAGCCCGCGCGTTCTTAACCTAACCTAGCTAGCTACTTTCGGCTATATTATCGTTTCTGTCAAGTGTTTAGAACTGTTAGTTAACAGTTTGACTGTTGTTTATTTGAATCTATTTTAACATAAGGAAATTTCGTGCATACAGATATTGTAAAAATATCTTTAAGTCAACATAATTTTTAGTAAGTATTTGGCTGAATTACTTCAGTAAATTCATTTAAGAGTTTTTATACTATTTGTTAATGAAATAACACTTAAGAAAATGAGTTGACAGCACTTAAACTGTAACTCCTGATTGTAAAGCTGAGTTTCCAGCACTTGAACTGAAACTCTCGAAAATGAAAATGAGAGATCGAATCTTGGTTTCAATCTGAATTTTATTAAATTAAATTTTTCCTTAAATACTAAATTATTACAAATTATTACAATAACAATATCTAAATTTTATTCTTTTCCTTTACCGTCTTCTTGCCTAAAGTGCAAGCTCAGCATATATTATGCAACCAAATTCTTTGTTGTGTCTAGCAACCAAGAATTAATGCCAATGCACTGGCCTTGATATATGTTACATTAGGGTGGCCTCACGTTTTAAGGGGAAAATTAAAAATGAAGCTTTTAATCGAGGGGCACCCCCTAGGAAATTGCCATTGACCAAAAAAATGAGATTCCCAAAGATTTGGAGCAATAGGATTAAAAAATGACGTTGCGCCACTCGAGCAAAGTTGGGTTTTTCAGGACAAAAACAGTAATTTTTCAAATTCAAAGGCATTTTTTATCTTTGTTACTTGTTTCAACAGTTATTAATATATACTCATTTGATAGATAATTAAAATATCTTTTTAATAAGATACTGATGAGCAAAATCGGTTAAAAACTATGCGCAAAACACAATAATTAGTTCAGCGACTGTGCTCTGTTTTCTATTTCATACCTTTTAGATGGCATGCACAATGCAATCGAAAATGTTTACAAGAAACATAAATAAAAAATAAAAATAATACATTTCTACTTAATAATTTATATAGATATTTAAGTAGAATTGAAAATGTAGTCAAAACTAGAATTTTTTCGTAAACAAAGAGAAAATGGTCGTACAGGGAGTATGACTAAAGTTAATATCTTTTTAGCAAACGAAGCAAAAGCGGCTACAAATTTCATTGATTTTAATTGGAATAAATTCGATGAAGAAATTTGTCTCAAAATGAAAGCTGAATCTTTAATCAACAAAATTGGGATAACACAGACAGAGCGATTGAATTTATCACTCCTAGTTTAGATTCTCGATGGAGCATATGTGTGAAAATTTTAACCCACACTAGATTAGGTTATGTCGGAAGGCACGTGCTGACAGTTGTCAGCACTTCTACTCGGAGACATATATTGCCCATTGGGATATTCTCAAAAAATTTTACTAGGCGATGCGAGTTGCTAACCTTTGTTATCCTTGTTAAACCATTTGGTTTTCCAGATGAAGTTAAGGAGATCCGATAAGTTTGCTTTCGTTATCTCTTGCAAGCCAGTAAAATAAGGATCCCCAAGACATTAAAGTAGGCTTGTTTGAAGTCCTGGACAGAGACATAGGAAGTGGTTGATAGATTTTACCTCCTCTTCATCTTGGCAACTTCTGTATAATCCACTTGTTGGAACTCGCCACCGTTGGAGCATAGGCGCAATGGCACAGTGCTCCTGCACACGAACTGCAGGTTTGCTCAAACCTTGAAGGCTTTTCGTTTTATTTTTGTCCAACTTAGGCCTTAAGATTCTAGCGACCTTACAGTCTTCGCGGTTAGTTTATAAATTGTTAGTATTGATTCTCTCTATTATCCTAAACAGTTTACATATCGGTGTATGTATTGAGAGGTCGGCCTCTCCTGTATGCAATTCAGAACCTCTTCTGGCCATCTCATCTGCTAGGCCATCTTATCTGCTAGTTCATTCCTTTCAATATTGCTATGTCCAAGTATTCGAAATGTACTATGTCCAACAAAGAGAGACCTTATGGTGTTGGATGCTCATCAGTGATGCGAGTATCTTGGAATTTAGATTCAATTGTTTTCAGTGCGGCCTATCTACAAAAATCGTGATATTCGAAGGACGAATTGTACTTTGTTGTTTAATGTTGATATCTTTTTCGATAGCATATATCTCGCTGTGAAAGACGCTGTAAGAAGCAGGGATTCCGTAGCACTGTCTTATCTGCATATCTTTCGAGAAGATACCTGCTCCCGTATCGCCTTCCATCTTTGAGCCATCTGCTTAGATAGTAACTGTAGAGTTACCGGTCACAGATTCAAGCTTCCAGCTATCTATCTCTGGTTAGATAAAGAGTGGGAACCCACTAATGAAGTTATTTTCCTCAAAGAACCTTATTGATTTCGTGACCGAAGAGATAACAAATTTTTTTAATCGTTTTTGCCTATCTAATAGTTTTATCAGTTTCGATTCATCGCCATGAATGGAGACGCAAGATTATAGAGATGCACTTGAATTCTGTGCCAGACTTTATATGATAAATGATTGAAAGAGGAATTAGGCTTATGATGGATTATAATTCGATTTTGACAAAATATGAAGAGGAAAAACAATATGTTCTGCAAGTAGTCAAACATTATCATAAAAATTATCCTTCACATAGTCAGATTTATGTCATAAAACATAATAAACACAATGTATTAATTACTGAAAAAAAAAGTTTTATTGAAATTATAATTTTTTATAAATAATTAACTAAATCGTAGCATATACCTATAATTGTGCATGCCATCTAAAACGTATGATATAGAAAACAGAGCACAGTCGCTGAACTAATTATTGTGTTTTGCGCATAGTTTTTAACCAATTTTGCTCATCAGTATCTTATTAAAAAGATATTTTAATTATCTATCAAATGAGTATATATTAATAAGTGTTGAAACAAGTAACAAAGATAAAAAATGACCTTGAATTGAAAAATTACTGTTTTTTGTCCTGAAAACCCAACTTTGCTCGAGTGGCGCAACGTCATTTTTAATCCTATTGCTCCAAAACTTTGGGAATATCATTTTTTTGGTCAGTGGCATATTCCTAG